ATTTTGGGGCTACGGCAGCGCTCCCAGCGCTAGGATATTTAAGGAGAGGGGAGAGTCTGTAATATAAATATTATATTATTATATCATAACATGTATAAATATTATAATATATAATATTCTGTACACCATAAACAACCGTGGGGAGAACCACGAGTGAGATGAGTCAGGAGCCTAGTCTCGAGCGGGTGCGCCGAGCGGGGTACGCAGCCGTGCACCGCCAAATTTGTGCACCAATAAGCCCTGAAAGAAACGCCTAGCATATTTCCGGATGACCACCAATCAGCCGCGGATTAAGCCATCCGTCGGTAACCAACCCGTGACATCATCTTGTTTTAAATATTAGGTTGTATCATCTGAGCGTTGCATCGAATATCATCTGAGCGTTGTATCGAATCATCAATTCATACTCTGACTTTAGCTCGAACTGTAACTAGCGCACAACGGACTGCGACCAACCAGCCCAGCTAGCCAGTGGAACTGCATGCTTCCTGCCGTGCACCACCAGACGGTCACTTTTAGCTCACAACATCCCGGTTAGGCTTCAGAAAGCATAGTTCTGTTCCAAAATCTATCGTCCTTCGACGAGTGACTTCCGCAGCTTCTCTAATGTACGTAACTTTTAGCTAACAGTATCTGGGGTTAGGTTTCAGATAGCATAGTTCTGTTCCAAAATGTATCGTCGTACGACGCGTGACCGTTCGACCCTAGGCTGATTCGACACACACGACAGATACGGACGGCTCCGTCACGTTCCGTCCGGGTGGTGTAAAATTTTTTCGCTTATTGGCAGACGACGCTGGGCCATTCTACGTCAGGCTACTTTCCTCTGGGCTGATTGATCTAACTCAATGGATGTGATCTGTCTGGTGGCTTGCGGCTGATAATGTGACAGTCAAAAAGTGTTATAGGCTACGTCCTTGAGGGAAGGGATCATGATAGTCTATTCGATCCACGGCAGTGGTGGTCTCCGACAGGCGTCCCCAGGCTGATGCAGCAACACAAACGCATCGAGACACCTATTGGGTGTCTCACATGCTGAGACGCCCAAGGGTCTGAAATTTTCGCTCTGCATGTATACGCTGTGCTTGTCCTACCCGTGCTAACGGGTGGGACAAGCACGTTGTCCACTTCAGAGACTTAATTAAATAATGAAAGCTATTAAAGAAGCTGAAATGAAAGAGTTTTCAAGTAAAACTATATTCAGAGATAGGTACAGGGAACAAGGGGGAAAGCATGCGGCACTGGTCAGTGATTTCAGACGGCAATACTAGTAATAAGGGTTTAGAAATGCTGGACCAAAACTTTTGGCTACAGGGAGCACATGCAGGGTAGAAGTGATACTGCAGGAGAAATAGAAGAAACACAAATAACCCTAATAACCATGGTAACAATTAAAGAATTCACAAGCAAAAATTATAATTAAATTTCCTAAACCAATGCCATAATGTAATGTCCAATATTTATTATAACTAAAATGCATTAAAAACTATGACCGTCGAACAAGAAATTAATAATTTAGTATTTTAGTTCATGCAAGAAAATTACTTCTAGCTTGATGAAGTTTAATCAAGTTAAGCTTGAGTAAACTATAACGCTAAAATAGGTAAAGAACCATTGTCAGGCGACAAATGTTGATACCATTCGTCCCTGGATATATCCTGATTGATGTCTTCCTTGTTGAAAGATAATCTCCTTCACTGCTATATGTTCATAAACATTTCCTTGTATTAGCCTTCCCTGTTTATCTAGTCACGCCTTTGGTGACGTCAAATATAGAAGCTATATAAGCTCTGTCTAAAGCGAATAACTTCACTCTCGAGCCGAGAACAGTCGTGTGTAAGCCCTTACTCCTGTCCATATCAATCAGGACAGTAACCCTAAATTAACGTCAGAGTCGAAGATGTGCTCTAGACGTATCATACTTCAACTGGACGCCGAAGACATCACTGTTAAAGCTCCAACTTTTACACTTAGATTATCCTAAACTGAAAGCCGAACTATAATCCTAATGTATATTCTATAATCGTTTTCGCTTTTACTCTATATCCTCGGATCCCGCTAAACCGAACCAACCCTCAGGTCATACTTAATTGCCATTCATATAAGAGGTGCACAGAAAAGCAACCTCTTACAATTATTATTATTATTATTATTCATATTTTTATTATTGTTGTTATTTTTTATTACTGTTATCATTATTATTATTATCATTATTTGCCTTCAATTAGTGTGCTTCTACCGATATAGTTCTTGAGACTGCATCAGTAAATCATTTAGGGTTAGGACGCTTACATAACAAGAGACAAGACTTTAGACCGCATGATTCAAAATGACCCCAATTACGTAGTGTATTTATCTTGGAGACTGCACATTGATGCAAAAAGGCGACGTTTTTGAACCATCATTAGCCTAGGCTATCCAACGTCTAAAAAAAAATTTAATTTTGGAAAAAACTTTTTTCATTGATTTTTCGTTGGCCCTCATATATGTATAATAATCCTTATCTAACTGTGAAAACTGAAAACCCTACGTATATTTATAACTTGCAAAAGACACAACAATTTCATTTAATAAGGTATAAATGAAATTTCCCACATCTTCTATAATATTCAGAACAGATATTCCGGGCGGTTAAGTACAGCAGAATTGAAGCAATGAGTTGCGTGTTAGAGAACGCAATATGTTACGATGCTAAGAATCGGCAATAGGTCTAACCATCTTATGACCGTTGAAACCTCCATTATAATGCCTGTTTCACCTACATCGGCTCCTCCGTAGACGCGCTGTTAGCATCGCCTTCATCAGCTGTTCTACGGAACGTGATGTCAGCATCACCAGTATCAGCCTCTAAAAAAACATACTCGGTTCTTTAATCGCCTCTTCCCTGTAGCGCGGCGTCTGAAGAAATGGGCAAGGAAGTTAAACAATCGATCGATCGAGGAAGTTAAACAAAATATCGATCGAGTCAAAACCGAGCTCTCATTTTCATTCCAAAATCTTAATTTTAAGGTTGCCTTACATTAGAATGTTACATTTTACATAAAATGACATTTTATGTCAAATATAATTACATTTGACGTTACATCTCCAGACACAAAATGAAAGTTCTACTTCAGGATGAAACGACAGCCGCGCAAAAGGCATGATGTAGGAGTCAAATGGCTGCTAAACGTTTATTGGTGTAGGCATATATGATAAACACACAATATTATATGAGTATATGAAATTTCTGAATTTCATGCCACCTACGTTACGATTAAAGAAGTAAAATACTAAGAATATTATCAGGCTAACACGACGATGCCAGGTGAAGACGATACAATAAGAGTATAATGGAAATACCTAAATCTACTAATTTACTATAATTATGGAAACATCGGTTCCAATATAAAGTTAGTTTGAAACCAACACCCATTCGTCTGTCTGTTTGATATTTAAATGATACTTTTTTGATATTCAAATGATACTGTTTTGATATTCGAATGATACTTTTTTGATATTCAAATGATACTGTTTTGATATTCAAATGATACATTTTTTATTTTCAAATGATAAAAAAATCATTCCGTACCGAAATAAAATTCTCGCTTAACAGTACTTATTTGATTAAAAAATTCATCTATAATTTCATGCTAACGCTACTTATTAAGTTGTTACAGAACATCAAGAACTGAGGGAGAGAAATTCTGCACACCAAACATGATTTATTTGCGGGAGGTTACTTAGGCCATTTTCTGGAGGTTACTTAGGCTGTTTGTGGGAGGTTACTTAGGCCATTTACGGGAGGTTACTTAGGCCATTTTCTGGAGGTTATTTAGGCCATTTTCTGGCGGTTACTTAGGCGATTTGCTGGAGGTTATTTAGGCCATTTGCGGGAGGTTACTTAGGCTATTTGTTGACGTAAATGGGAATGTCTTCTGTTGAACATTCTGTATATTGAGACTCCTAGATTTTATAATAGTAATAAAATAGCAGGTAAGCCTGGCGCTGCTTGCATGGGGACATTTACAGAAGTGGACCACCGATGGGGAATGCAAGGTATATTTAAGAATGAAAATTCAGCGTCTATTTTAGGAGGAAAATGCAGGGTCTGTTTTAGAAGGGAAATGTGAGGATAGTGCGGGAGTCCATTTTCGTTGACACGAAAATGGATAAAATTTGATATATTTTCTATAGATATTTTTCAACACAAAACGTGCTTATCATTCGCGATTACATCATCGGTGACTATAATCAAAGAATAAATATGAAATCATCCCGATCCTGAACTCCAATCTGACATAAGCTGTGAATTCATTGCCCTGCTAGAGCAGGGTGGTCCAGTGGTTCAAGTTCAGAGTACCAAGATTGGAACAGAGAAGTGCGGGTTCGATCCCAGCTCTGTGCGCCAGTTTCTGGTCAGAATCGGCGAGAAGTCCGGGCGGTTAAGCACAGCAGAATTGAAGCAGTGCGTTGCGTGTTCGAGACCGTACCAAGCTGTGAATGTTCTGCAATGTTAAGAATCGGCGACAGGCCTACGGCCTACTAAACGCTGAAACCGCTATTGTTATTTTACTATTATTTTATTACCTACTCTTCCGGTTTCCGTTCTCGGAGAACTCCTTCTTCTTTTTTTCTGTGACATTCAGTGTTGGATTCTTCGCACGCTACTGACTCAATGTTTTAGTTCAAGACAAAGACTTCCATCTCCGAGATCTCCATGACGATGCTGTTCCCGACTCAATGTTTTAGTTCAAGACAAAGACTTCCATCTCCGAGATCTCCAAGACGATGCTGTTCCTGCCTCAATGTTTTAGTACAAGACAAAGACTTCCATCTCCGAGATCTCCAAGACGATGCTGTTCCCGCCTCATGTTTTAGTTCAAGACAAAGACTTCCATCACCGCGATCTCCAAGACGATGCTGTTCTAGCCTCAATGTCTTAGTTCAAGTCAAAGTCAAAAAGTTCAAGTTAAAGTCTATCACCGAGATCTCCAACACGATGCTGTTCCATCCTCATGTTTTAGTTCAAGACAAAGACTTCCATCTCCGAGATCTCCATGATGTAGTCAGTAGTCGCGACGTTTTTGTATACAGCGACGTAGCGGCTGCAGCGAGGGGGCGACACGTCGAACTCGTACCACTTCTCCCCCAAGGGGACCGGCCCGGGGATGGCCCCCACCAAGTCGTACTGGCTGAAGTCCATCGCAGTGGGAGGCACGTCGTTGCCAAGCAGAATCTGATATTAGATTCAGAAACTAAAATAATGAATTAAGTCTCGAATTTGTTTACAAATTACAACACAGAAGCTTAAAGTACAGAAACGAAATTCATGTTCCACATAATAAAAATGATGCTAGTGCGTCGTATCGTATGCTTAAATGAGGAAAACATTTTTTCTTTCCTACTACACATTCAGTTGCAAATCAAATCCCATTGGTACTTTCCAAATGCATGGTGCGTAATTAACTGTTTGATTCACCTGGTAGTTGTTAATTCGCCCTGGCATTACACCAACGTAAGGAAGCAGTCGAACTTTCTGCACCAACATGGCTCCCACCAAGTTGACGAGGAGCCACGGGGTCTTATACGCTCCTGTAGCATCCGAATGATACCTGGTGTCGTTGCGGCCGTCGACTGCGAACTCCTTCGTCCTGAGCGAGGGTTTGGAGAAATTAAATTATTAGACTATATTGAAATAAAGAATTTATACTTGTATAAGGAAATTAATATTTTCTTTCCTGTATTAGAAACAAACAATTTATAATTGCATAAAGAAATTTATACATGTTTTACTAGAAACAAATAATTTTTAATTGGATAAAGAAATTTATACATGCTTTTGTAGAAACAAAGAATTCATACTTGCATAATTCCTGCTTGCGTGAAGCTATTGACCGACTCAAAAATTCGAGACGTTAATGATTCGGCGTTAATACAGAACAAATGAAATGAAGAAATTTATTTTGTTAGGAAAATATGCTTGATGTATAGTTTTACAGATTATTTTATCAATGATGGTACAATCATGTGCGATGTTAAGACCAATTCTATACGATGCTAAGAATCGGCGGAAGCCCTACGGCTAAATAAACACTGAGACCACTCCTATTGTTTATTAAGTATATAACACAATTGTAAGTTAGTGTCCACTTTACAAGGTCATGTAGTTGGGGACGGCAGTGACTGGCTTGCCACGCGCTACCTCCGTGGAGGTGTTGGTAGGCACGGGGGTCCGGAATGTGGCGGTCAGGCTGCCAGGCAACGTGACTTTCGACACCGTGCAAACGCCTCGGGGAGAATTCAGGGAGTGTACCATTAAACTGATTGTTAGAAAATGCTTCATAATTTCCGTATTTTAACTGATATGATAGTCAATATTTAATGATCATTTACTCCTAGCCAAAATACACACGCTGAAACGAGGTATTGCATTATGAGCTGTGATTGCACCTAAAGATGTAACTCTTGATGTGTGAAACGCAATTACAACGACTGGAACATACAAGTCAACACATCAATTTATACAATTTTTAAGAGAAAATTTAAGTGTATCGATGATCATCCATGAAAGCAAAACATCGTTTTGTCCAATTATAGGCACGCTATTACATCCACCTCGTGTAACAGTTCGAAATTTAACAGTAATTCATAAATAAAATAGCTGCCGAAGCTTGCATGCACGGGTTGGTCATAATAAATCAGTTCAATTTACATAAACATTTAAAATGTTTTCCAATATAAAAACATAGTAATATTATAATATATATAATTTGCACTAGTTTGAATAGTTTTAAATCAAAATATTTGCTCCGACTAGCGAATAATGACTAAAGAACGACTAAAATATTCAGCTCTATTTGAAATGAAATTATTAATGCTCTGCTGGCTTATTCATTTTGAAACAAGTCGCCGGAGATAAGGTGCCGCTTACCGTTGTCGAATTCGAACGCCTCACAGCGTCGGGCGGCGCAGAGCAGGCTACACACAACGTGGGTGCTCACTGTAACAGTCAAAAGCTGGTCCGACAGAGCGATGCAGTTGCTAGGTTGTCGGGAGTCTCCCCAAAATATCGACTTCCCTTCCGCCCACAGAATGCAATGCCAGAAAAACAGGATTCCAGCCGAAGCACACGAATGCATTTTACTTTTTTTGAGTTGTTGGTATCTTTTCTGGAGTTTGGATTTAAGATGTATTTTGTCCTTCCGCATCAAGCAACTTCCTTAGACCTTACGTGACCATGCGTGCTGTGCTTATGGTGGAGAACTCCAGACTTACCGTTGTCAAACGGAGACTATATTGAATTTGTTCGACGTGACACAGCTACATTTAATATAAGCAAACAAATTATGTTGTATTATAAACTACAGAATTTGGATAAAATGTAAGTCACTTTTCGTGGCTTAAAAAGCCCCAGACCCTGATTGGACAGGGACAAAAGTTTGATAATTAGAGGTATGAACTTGAAATAATCTCCTTCAACGTTTCAGCTTCTGTCAAAAACTTTGGTATGAAGAATACAATCAAATCACCTGCGCTATGATGATTGAGTCGAAGAAGTTCCAGTTCGATCGATTGCTTTGAATGTCCGCTGACTGAATTCCACAGCTTGACATTGACAAACCTTAAAGAAATTCAGCGAATTGTTATTTACTTTTGTTATAACAAAAAAAATAAATTTTGTCGATGACCAGCTAATTTAATTGCAACGACAGGCCTGGGGTCGATAATACCTTTACGGAAGAACATTTCCACTGCAGACCAATGTCAAAAAATTGTTATTCAACAAATGATTATAAATATACGAATTCAATTTTTAGAAAATCCGTTTACATGGTACCAGAATCGCCTATTTTGCAGGTGCTTTGCATCTTCCCCTAACCCCTTAAAAGAGATTAACGCTAATAAAGAATCTTAATAATTATCGTGAAAGAAATGAAGGAATAATCACATTACTACACACAATTACATTCATTTCTTCTCATTCACGGCAATTAAAATTATGGCTTTATTCCTTTCGGTTTTCATGCCTGAGAGTCCACGACTGAGAATCAGCTATTAGTTTTAGATAAATATTTTCAATATTTTATTTTATTGCATGAACATATAAAATCTCTATGGATTCCTCGCTTAGGAATGTTATAGAAGACGTGGGAAACTTCATTTAAATCTTATTAAATGAAATTGTTGTATTTTTTGCTAGTAAATCTATGTAGGGTGTTCACAGTTAGATAAGGATTATTATGTATGACAGCCAACGAAAAAAAACAGTGAAAATAGTTTTTCCGAAATTAAAGAGTTACTAGACATTAGATAGATAATGATGGTTCGAAAACGTCGCCCCTTTTTGCATCAAGGTGCAGTCTCTAAGATAAATAGATGAATAATAAATAAATTGGTGTCATATTGAATCAGTCGGTCTAAAATCTTGTCGCTTGTTTGTAAACGTCCTAACCCTATTTGATTTATATCGGTAGAAGCACACTAATTGAAGGCAAATAATGCTAATAATAATAATAATAATAGTAATAAAAAATGATAGCAATAAAAGTAATGAGAAAAAGAATAATAATAACAATAATAATTATAATAATAATTATTAAGAATAATACTAATAATAACAATTATAGCTGTTTGGCGCTCGTTAGGCCGGATCTGTCGCCGCTTCTTAACCCTTTCGTGACGGAAGGGACTGTGGCGTCCCGCTCTATGTTTTACCATATAACTTGCAAGCAACACAACATTAGAGGCGCAGCTAACCACAGGGCATATTAGAAACACTCCTG